ACCTCTTCGGCGGAGGCACCGGTCTCCAATGCCGCCCTTATGTATGCTTTCACAGCCGGTTCATGCATATGAGCACAATCGGCCGCTAACGCAACACATGTGAGCTCCTGGGCTTTATGTATCTTAGATATCGATCTGTACTATGTGTCCTATACTAAGTAAGCTAAGCATTACTTACGCCAAGACTATAGTCCCTACGATATCTAGGACTAGTTAAATGGCATCACTGTGAATCGTGGATACCTCAATGTGCTCACGGATATTTTCGTCATTCTTCAAGATGTCCGTGCCTCGCTCGATGACCTGGTCGCCAAAAACCTCGGCGATTTCCTCGAGCGATTTGCGCCGGGTCTCTGGGAAGAGAAAGTAGACCAGAGCCACCAAAATTGCGAGGAGGAGGTCGAATAGGATGTAATACTTCCAGCCTACATGCTCCATGGCGGTTGGGTTCACAGACTGACCGATGACTAGGCCAATGAAGGTGGTGGTCAACGAGACCGTCAAGCCGCGGCCACGCAGTAGGTAAGGAAACAGTTCCAGTGGATAGGCCTGCAGGAGGGGGGTAAAGGCCACGTTATAGAACATCATATAGATGAATATGAAGGCGACGACGCTGTTCCCGATCTGGTGGTCGCGGCTGCGCGAGAAGACGCTAGACAGTACCGTCATGCAAATGAAGGCAAGCAGCATTCCGCAGGCTGAGGTCAGAAAAAGGCGTCGGCGACCGACACGGTCCACGAGCACCGCAGCCGTTACGGCAACCAGGTAGTTGAATACCTGGAGCAGACCATTGACTAATGTCTGCGATTTGGCCGAGGTGATTCCGACGGTGTCGAGGACGAGGGTCAAGTAGTACGAAATAACCGCAACGCCGGACCACGTGCCGTAGAAGCCGACCACCATGCCGATGAACGTGCGCTTGCGCATCGCTGCCGTGCGGATCAGGTCCAAGTAAGAACTTTTCGAGTGCGCCGTGGCCTCGGCGTTGATGTTGGCCGCGATCTCGGCGAGCTCGAACGCCACCAAGGGGCTGCTTTGGTCGCCGGCCGCGTGCCACTTAGTCAAGACGCGGCGCGCTTCCTCGGTGCGGTCCTTGGAAATATACCACCTGGAAGAAGTCAATCTCCCGTCTACACAATCGGTAGTGTCGAAAGGGTTTACTTGCCTTGGAGATTCGGGGAGGAAAACAAATAGGCAGGCTTGCACAACGGTCAGCGAGCCTTGCAAGATCGAGGGGATCCTCCAGGACCAGGAGCTGGCTATGGTCTGGGTGCCATAGATTAACCACGCAGCGTATATCGAGCCGAGCCACTGTTCCTGGTAAGCACGAAAGAGAATCATCGCCAGAGAGATTTGACCTACGTTGCTCGTGTTGTAGATGGCCGTCACCTTGCCGCGATGTGTCGGGTAGGCCAACTCGGTCACAAGAATGGGTGCGGGCTGCGTGGTGAAGGAAGTTCCAAAGCCCATCAAGAAGCGTGCGATGATGAACATGGCGAGGTTCCGCGCGCCGCCCTGCAGGCCGCTGGCCAGGATCAAAATCAGGAAGCCAATGTAGATAGGGACCTTGCGTCCAAATCGATCTGAGGCCCACGTGGTTGGGTAGACACCACAAAGCTGTCCCAAGGGCCAGACCACGTTGATGGCCGATAGCTTGGAGCTACTTGGGTTACCGAAGAAAGTGCGCCACTGCGGGAGACTCTGCAAGCCATTCACCATGGAGCCTGGACGGAAAGAAAGATCAGGTAAGCCCGAGACGTTCTACCTCGCAGCATGCAGAAACCCAGGCTTACCATCATAGCCGAAAGTGCAGGAAGAGAGCATCGGACCAACCAACAGAATGTTGAGCAGCAGGAGATGCCTTCTCATGTACCAGGGTCTAGGGTCTTTGGGCAAGACCTGCGCAGGGACAATGATTAGCGGTGCAGAAAGCTACCGACTGGGAAATTCTGAAGGGGGCAGACTTACAGCGAGCAATGCCGGGCTGACAGCTAATTCGGCCTCTTTCATGATACCCATGATGGCTGTAGATGAACCGTGTCCTCGAAGCAGCAGGGCGCACAGAGGGAAGAAAACGGTCGGTATCCACCAGGTTTTAACCGTTTTGGAAAACCTTAAGTCCTGGAATTTTGACCCCGGAACTTGGAGCGCCCGCGGGTACCGGGGGTGGCGGGGGCTGATTAAGCATCCAAAGGAGCCATCAAGCTTCGGGAATAGAGGTCTCAAGCAATGCTTAGCATCCCACTCGAAGGCGGACATTGCGTTAAAGACGCTGCAATGAATCACAGGTTCTTCCTCCAACCTGCCCCGTTATCGTAATCTTCAACGGCATTCCGAGAGAATGCCTGAGGAATGCAATATGCAATGAAAATAGATCAGATCTAGTTCAATACGGATCAGATCTCGTCCAATGCATATGAGGTCTCGTCCAATGTAGATGAGATCTAGTCCAATCATTCTTCTCGCACCACTTTCGAGCCAAGGATTGCAGCATTTGAGCAGAGTACCAAGGCTGCCATATTGTCGAGGGTGCCTTGTGCAGGGACTGAGAGGAAATGGCAGTCCAAAAACGTGACATGTTGTAGTCTTAGAACACTTTCATAGTTTACATCGTAGATGAGCTCATCCAATTACGCATGTCATCATTTGAATTTAGCTACGGCTCTGTCGTTTTAGGCTCAAAGCTATTCTCTCCGACCTTATCTAGATGTGAGAGAGAAACATTAACTTTAGTAATTTCCGCATCAGAGCTACTAGAATGCGGAGTTAGCCGCTTAAAGACCTCTCTAACCTCTTCGAGAGTACGTCCCTTGGTTTTAGGAAAGAGAAAATAGATAAGGACGACTGTTAAACTAAGAAGATAATAGAGGACTACGTAATACTTCTATCTAACGTTAGTAAGTGTAGTAGAGTTAATAAATTAACTTAGGATAAGGCTAGCTATTATGACAAAGATAGAAAATGTAAGCTCGTGGCCGCGAGGAGCAAAAGAGTAGATTTCGATCGTATAAGTGTAGGCTATAGGTGAGTTACTAATAGTGAAGAAGAAGGCGAATATGAAAACGAAAGCTAGTACGCCTCGACCGTAGGTTAGGTCGAGAGTTACTGTAAATCTACTGTTTAAGCTCGTCTAGATGATGAATGAGACGTATATACTATAAGTCGAGATTAGCTATAGGCGACGGTGACTAACGTAATTAATTAAAACACCTATATTAGAGTATAGTTATATATAAGGATATTAAGTAGCTTAAAACCGTATATATAACTCACCTAGAAGAATATTAAAGGATTTAGGGATAATAACCGAGGGAAGTTTTTACTCTACTTAATTCCACTAAAATAGAGCGCGGGATATAATAGTAATTTAAAGCTTAATAATATCTACCTATTAATAGAATTCTTTAATCTTCTTATAGGAAGAAATAAAGAATAAAATAAATATAAGGCTCATATTGAGATAATAAAAAGCTCAAATCTTAATTAAGAAAGACTATCTAAACTATATTCACTAACTACCCTTAATATCTATCGACTCTCTCCCTCTTTTAGCTAGCTTTGTTATTTCCACTATCACTCTATCGTGTGATCCTTAAACTTAGGTATTTATTTTGTGAAGGTAGTAAGACTAGGTGTAGATACTTCCGCTCCCGTTTTCGCTCCCGTTTCCGCACGCTCAATTTCGACTTTTACATCTTGATAGCGACGTTCACGATACTCTTGAATCGATCGTTGAAAGTGGCGGTAGGGAACCTTTTCCTTGAAGAGGTGGTTCATCTACCTGCTGCTGCTTCTCTATTTTGACCCTTAGGGATATTTCTGACTTGGGACTTTTCCCCAGATGTGCTGTTCTCTCCAACCTGTTGAGCCTCGGGATGAACACCTTGATAGCGTTCGCACGAAGTGTCCTATCCACCTTTGATTGAACTATCATACATGTTTGAGGTCCTGCTGCCCCTGAGAGATTCGATGCCATGACACTCGGCCCACTCATTCTGAAGAGGTCATGTGGAAACGGGCCCGCGGCAAGATGGTCATGCGGATATTCTTCGCCCCTAGTTGCACATGAGCCGAAGCACAGATCGCGGGGCAAGGACCAGCTTCTCAGTGAGTTCTTTCGGCGATAAGCCAAACTGCATCTTCAGATCAAAGTGTATGCGCATTCGTGCAGCGAAAACGTTTACTTGTCCCCCAGAACACGGGTCCATTTACAATGATCTAGAAACAGATTGTGCGGAATCACAATCACAAGCGGTCCCAACCTGATGACGCTTCTTCCGCTGGACACGCTGGGGGCGATTTGATAGGTCTCTATTTAAGGCTTACGGGTGGGCTCACGATGCTCAGAGGCATCCTCAGGTCTCACCAAAAGGCACTCAGATTCGCCCAGCCACAGTTCGTTCGGGAATGGTTTAGTGTAACAACGGTACCACCGAAGGTCACTAGGTGTTGGAGGCCAAACCCCGCAAATACGAGCACGGAATCCGGAACTGGAACTGTGCCTCGCCAGACAGGCTCCGAGCTTTGCGGTACTGCTCTTGGTAAAATGCCGAGTACGAGGTAGCTCGGCAGGGAAAGGTTGACGTTATAAATTTCTTTAACGCACCAAGGTGGGGTGCTCTTTCATGGACAGACAGTTGCGCCAAAGACTGCGGCTGTCCATGGTACCCCGTCTTGATCCGCGTAGAATCAGTCCACGCCTCCTCCAGAGACGCTTCTGTTTTGACCATTACCGGCGTCCAAGCCCAGGACGTTACCAGCTACCAAAATTGATATTGAGCACAGCAAGATAGACTTCACGAGACGTAGGGCAGTCGACCCGTGGTCAGAGATGTCACAGCCAGGGGTGAAGAAAGTCAAACAATATACTAGTCTTGGGATACCCGTCGGCCGTAGGCGGGCTGAAGCTGGGTCCTGTCTTTTATGGAGCTCTTTGAATCCCACCAGGGTCTACCATTTATCGACATGGCTTAGTTGATAAGAGACACCGACAGTGTACTTCAACTTGGTCTTCTCAACTGATCAACGTATTTGTTTGTTCCCAGTTTTGCTGGTATGAATGGTATCATGAAGCTCAATTGTCCCTGACCGCTTTGACGAACGAGTTCCGGTTCGGCGCTAAAAATACCATTCCAAATTTCGCGAGGGTCCTTGTCTAGAAACCATAGAATTGTCATCTTACAAGGATCGTTAGCTGTTGACGCAACGTCACCAAGCTGGTTCTTGACCTCCTGTGTCATCATCCGATCGTTTCCTGGAGAGCAAAATACCATCGCACTTGAAACAGGCCCATGCTCTTTGACTCGACTGGGAAGGTGAAGGGACAGAAGCCAATTGAGGAGGTCGCCTCTTCTGTTTTCGGATGTTGTAGACAGGACTTCCAGGACGAGACCAGGTGCTGGATCCATCAAGGTGAAGATGTCGTTGGGAACAGATGCATCTCTATAGATGGTACCAACTTTGTCCTGAAAAGAGGTAAAGACATGAATTCGTTCGAAGAAGATACGACGCTCAGCCAGAAGCCTGTTGTAAACGGAGTAACTACATTCCTTGTGCTCGTCAAGCTTACCAGGAGCAATCCAGTAAGTGCTCAGGTAGCAAGCTTGGGGCGCCGATTCAGCGGCCATCGCGTACGGTTTTGGTAGGCGCATATTCTGCAGGTCGTAGGTCGCGACCCATCTGCGTGCCGAGAAGCACCAAGGGAGATTTAGAGCTCCAGCGAACATGTGATCATCTTCATACCATCGGTTGTATTCTACCTCGTGGCCAGACTTCGGTTCGATCATGGTGATGAGGGCGTGACCGACACCAACATCGTATGGTTTTCCCATCGGGAAGTTCGGATTGGAACTCCCATCTGACTGGTCCATTTCCGCCGATGTAGAAAGCTCCTAGGGATCGGGAGAAAATGTCTGTGATTATCTCAGTTGTATAGGTAATAGGTTGCGCGGCGTTAAGACGGCAACCAAAAGACGTGCAATAAAATACAGTCGACTGTCGGAAACCGTGTAGCGTCGTTTGAAGTTCACTGGAATTGCATCTCAATTTATTCGCCACATCTACGTCTGATTATATATACCGCTTGTTAAGGCCAGCAGCTTGTGCCAAGCGGAAAGCCCGGAATTTACTTGACGCCTCGTGTAAAAGGTTCTTGGGAGGCGTCACATGTTCGGCGCCGAGTTCATCTCGATGCGGGAGCTCTATAGTTTCTATATTTCATCTTGATGCGTTGGACACTCTGGATGATTAGAATTCGCAACGAACTTCGACAGTGTCAGGTATCATGATATGTCTTCTGGGGCCGTGTCGTGGGCACTCGCTCTCCGTAGACGGGAGTACCGGGCTCCTTACAACACACTATCACCTAAAAAGATGTAAATATCCAATCCGGATCGCAAGCCGATGTAAAGTCAAATATGATCGGCTCTAAGTCGGCTGCAGGTGCCAGCGTCTGACTCATGGACAATTCCGGTTGATATCGGGTCTGGTATTCGTGATGGTCCTCCATAACTCGCCCGCCCGGCTGATCTTGTCTTTGGATTGCCAGCTCCAGGCTACCAGGTCTATCCATGTTGGTCGTTTGGGTGATCGACAGTAGCTCTGGGTCTAGGGGCCCGGGGTTCATCGATAAGCCTGTAGTGTAGACAAGGCTTCTCAAGCGCTCTACCCTTCGCTTCGCTGGAGGGTAGTTCTTCGACAACTCTTCTAGTGAAACAATCGCTGTGGCGAATACAGCCCGCGTTCTACTCAGAATTGTCGAGGACAAGTCCGACCTTTTGAGAATGCTTCGGAGTGACAGGGCTACGTTGACGATACAGCACATGGATAGATATCTGTGAGCCTTGTGGTACGGAATCTCGATAAATGGCACAATCATATGCACTGTGTCGGACGCAATGTCGATGATTTCTTCCAGGACACTCGACGGCGGAGGAAAGTTGAGAGAGGTATCGTGTCTGATCAATAACCTGAGCTGATTGAGTCGCTGTTGTCATTAGTCCGTCTGTCTCTAGGTCACTTCGCAGTGCAGAACATACAGTGTGAAAGAGGATTCTCTGAGGTAGGTGAAAAGGCTCGGTGTATTCGTGATTCGGTACCATGAGACTTGTGCGTTGTAGAGGCACCGGCAACGGCTCGCGCAGAGACATAATCTGGTGGTCGAAAGCAGCCAATTCTTCCGTCGTGGTTATCTTTCGCGCCTTGATGCCATGGATCTGCTCCCATACCGACGTGAAAATGTCCATCAGTGTTTGCATGGAGACTAGAAAGGGTATAAAAGAGGTCTCCGGGCTCCGAGCGGAACTCGTTCTGTTTGGAAACACACATCTGTCATCAAACAGCTCAGGTGGCACAAAGACGTAGTCCTCTTTGCGTAGAAGACACGGCAACCTGCATGTCAGAGCAATGCTGCGATCGAGATTTAATACGCAGCAAAATGCTCTCTGTCGCATTACAGTGTCAAAGGCGGTGTATGCACCGCCACTGCCAGCTGACTGATGATGAAGCCCGCATTGAAAGCAGAGGCGGACAAGTGCTCCAACTGTGTCCCGGACTTGATCGTATTGGGCTAGATTGGTAAAGTAGATTGCCTTGAGGGAGAGGCACTGGATCATCGTCAGGTTTAGCCTTTTAGATCTTGGGAGATCTTGTATCAGCTTCTCTGCCTTGCAGATGTAGGTCCAGCCAGGGACAGGCGCAATCTCCGGATTGAACGATTGGCTGAGGTCCACCACGGCTCTAATCATATAGACCAGCGCGCGAAACAGGTCGTCCTCGTGATGATGTCGACTAGCTCCTTCGTCAAAGACGAGTCGGTTGAACCGTTGATAAAAGTCATTCTCGTTGATTATTCCATGAAGAGGATTGAGCTGAGAAAAGAAGATGGTGAATGCTGATCGATATCTGGCACCATGAATGACTTCTGTAGACTTGCCGTCTCCTGATGGCTGATCTTTTTGGAATATAGTGAAGTCGGGCTCCAGGAGGCTGGCATGGAGCGGGAGACTGGAGCCACTGGTATCCGCTATCTCTGTTGAAGCGGATCTGAAGTCATGCCCTGAGCTCGGGTCCATCTGCGATCCAGTCACAGGTTGTAACTCTAGGCTGTATTGTCCAGTGGCTTTGGATAATATACATCCAGAATCCAGTGATGCTTGCTGTTCGCCCTGTTGCGGAACCGCTTCCAATTCCAGCCAAAGGTTTTGAGGGAGTGAATGGTCGCCTCCTACAACCATCGCCTGCCCAGGGGTCCGAGATACCGGTGGAGAGGGTCCTGCAGCGTCTCTAGCTTCGCTGCTCTGTCTGGAGCCTTCAAGTGGATTCTCTAGTTGGGGTCGGGACCATGTAGCCGCGAGCTGGAAATAGCGGTCTTCGAGCTGGGATAACCGCGCACCCATGTCGAGTACACTTGGTAATGCCGACGGAGCGAACGAATTTTGGGATCTGGACTCTCATAGCATAGCTTGTAAGTCACATTGTTGAGCTTGGGGCAGGTGCACGCGAACCTTGCATCGGTTGCAACTGGTTTCGACCGGCCAGTCGTTCTTCTATGCCTATGGCGCGGGTAAACACATGTTTCCGCGAACTTAGCACACTCGCTGCAAACGGTGCTCCCGCTACACTGTCATCCTAAGTCACTAGCTAGCAAGAATAGGTTCCAAGGGGTCTTACTTTCGTCTTCTTCCGTCGACAGTTAGAACTATACCAAACGTTATCGCAAGTCTTGAAATGATGGCGCCAACCGTTCTCACCAAGCCTGTGTCACGTAGGTTGTCCTTTTCCCGCGCCGTGTTAGCTCATCAGGAACTATCTGCAGACTCTGCGGACTGTCCACGTTAGGACCTGCTTGATCAGACATTATAGCCGAGATGACTTTGACTTGGCCAGTACAAGCCGGAACCAGTCCGATGGGGAGGAGGAGCGCATATACGATGAGTCGATGTAACTATCCTAGGTATCCAGGTCAATGTGCCTAGGTTTGTGCCGGTATATCAGTCAAGTTTCGCATTGTCGTTCAAATTTGGTCAAGTCGTGAACCATTGTTCATGATAATACTGCCTGGCTAGCGCCTTTGCGTGGGGAGATCAAAATGTGGAGGCGAGCGCCATGGCATTCGGAACTTGGACTGATGATTCCGGTTTCGCCGGAAGTTTGGATGAAAAGCCATGGCCCACGAAGGGGTCAGAGTAAAGCTGCAGCAATCGCAACAAATATAGGGACGCTCATACGATAAAACGATGGTTCCAGGCCAATGAGGGCTGTGACGTGTATTTGTGTTAAAGGGTATGTCAAGGAAAGCTTGCCTTTGAAGTGTGATATGCATTGCGCTTCCGCACAAGCCTCGCGAAGCGGCAACTTCGTAGAAGCCATACACGTTTCTCTAAATGTTCCTCAGTTGTTCCTGTCTCACGGGGTGCTCGCAACGCTTTGGAGGGCGCTATGAAATGACATCGCATTGACAACTTTGGTCGCCACTGCCCGTTAAAGCCCTTTGTCCGAACTAGTGCTTCAATCGAGGATTCTTGTTCAGATCGCAATAGTTGATGTTGGAGTCCAGAAGCATTCCATTCCTCATTTCACCACAAAATCGGCATAATTAGGCACACGAATCTTCTTGTAATATTCTGCGGGGGTCCACGGCATGTTGACACATTGACGCCCAAATTCATTGACATAATATCCGAATCCCTTCGACTCCCATATCATTCTCTCGATACCTTTGTCCAGGTCCTCGTTATACTTGGTGTAGATGTCCTCTCGAACTTCCATGGATGATGCCCTCTTCTCTATTATGTGGACAATGCAGTTGACAGTGTACAGAGACCATAGCTCGGCCCAGGAGTGCATGCTACTTCCACGCCCCTGGTGATTAGGTCCATATAGGGTGAACAGATTTGGATAACCGGGGATAGCCATACCAAGGTATGTGCGAGCGCCATCCTTTTTCCAACTCTCTTTTAGCGTGATTCCGTGACGGCCGACGTAGTCAATTGACGACATCGTGAAGGGCTTGAAGCCTGAACCGAGGACAATCACGTCGTACTCGCGGTGTTGGCCATCTTCTGTGAGAATACCGGTCTCAGTGATGCGCGAGATCCTGTTCGTAATAAGCTCCACATTGCCTTCTAGTAGACAGTCGTAGAACCCGTTATCGACTGGAGGTCGGCGGACCATAGGTGCGTGCTCAGGAATCAGCTTTTCAATGTACTGTGGCTTGCTGGCAAATTTCTCTTTGATCCAGTTGGTAAGGGTCGCTCGGAGGGCGTCATTGTGTTGACTGATAAAGCCCCCTTTAGCCTGCCAATCTAGGTCGTGTTCTTGGAGCGGCGCCACCTGTAGACTTTGCCACCAAAGTGAATAACAGTACCAGTTCCAATAATATGGCATCGAGTCACATAGCCACTTGTGGTGCTCAGCTACGGGATGGCGGTAATTGCTGATCGGGATGATCCAGTTGGCACTCCTCTGATAAACAGACAGAGACTTGGCGAGCCGTGCAAGTCCCGGAGCCAGTTGTGTTCCTGTAGACCCCGTGCCGATCAGGGCGCAGCGAGCGGCTTTGAAGTCGCAAGCGTGGTTCCATGAGGCAGTATGGAAGATCTGGCCTTTATAATTCTCAATGCCAGCAATTTTAGGAAGGCGAGGTGCCGAAAGGACACCGCAGGCACTGATAATGATTTTCGCCTGCATAGATGTTTCACTACCGCTGTCTTTGTTTGTCACCCGGAGTGTCCAGGTAGAATCCGCATCGTTCCAAGTAGCACCGAGGACTTCTCGGTTAAACTGGAAGTAGTCATAGATATGATACTTTTTGGCGATATAGTTCAGATATAGCTGGTTTTCCTGGCTTGAAGCGAAGTGCTCGGTCCACTGGTAGTTCTTCTCGAATTTATACTGGAACAGGAAACTTGAGGTATCCACACGAGCTTCGGGATACGTATTTAGCAGCCAGGTTCCCCCGATGCCAGCTTGTCGTTCCACGACCGTGAAAGGGATGTTGAGACCCTTTAATTGGAGTGCTGCAGCGATGCCGCTGATGCCAGCCCCGATGATAATCACATTGTAGGATTCTAGGACTTCCGGCGGAGGTGGCTTTGTCCACTGTGCTTGGCGCGGAAAATCTTCCAAAGCTAGCTCTTCATAGCTGAATTGCTTTTGGGAAGGCTCCATCTTCTCGCCACTGAAGAGCGTGAGTAAGTTGTAACAGTCCTCCCGGGTTGGTATAGGAGGTACAGTCTCGGACGGTCTTCGCAAATATGCAACAGCCTTTTCCCGCACCACTTCCCAGTCCTGGTCGGAAACACTGAGTGAGAATGACATTCCACCGCGGATTGCCGTCTTGCGAACGACCATCGCCTCTAGCTCCTTGTCGCCTGTAAACTGTAGCAGGGCCAATCGGAGAGCATTGTGATCAGACGTATCGACTGCCTGACGAATGAAATCCTCCGTCGGTAGCGGCGAGCCATTTTGGACGGGATCCGATTTTTCCGTCTTAGCCATTTCCAGCGATTAAGACGAAACTCGGTGTTGTAACACTGTGAACCTTTTGACGAGGAGCTGCGGCCGGAATATATCTGTTCGTGTCAAGACTGCAACGTTCGAAGAAGTCGTGCACGTTCTACTAACCAGACCTCTTGGCTTTCTGTTTCCGGTTTTTGGTCCGGAATACAAGTAGCTTTCTGAGATCCGAGAGGGATTCAGATTAGCAGCAACCAGCACGCCAGTACCACCAAGTGTCGAAGAATATCATCCGCTTCCTTCGGCATAGAATTAGGAGCTCTTAGAATATCGATTTGTGCGGACGACCTTTCCATGTTTATGTGGCTGAAATTCGAGAGATAGAGAATTCCCGGAACCTCAAAATGTCCGGGTTCCATCAGGTAGCCCAGTCTTCGGTCATCTCAACATCCACCTGGTCCTGAAATATGTTTGTGTATTCGAATCAGGAATTTTCCGGTTCCGGCGGACTCAAAATTCGAGTGAATGCTTCCGCTTATGCTGCCTTTTGCCAGACTGTCATTGCTGTGTCTGGTTTTGGCCTCACAGTAGAGTAGCTTTATACTGCAAATCGGTTTTCGATAGAACAGACATTTCGTTGTTCATTATACCGGGAAGATTGCTTCACCGTAAACGACAGAAGCTTATTCCAGATCACCGACACAAGCTGCCAGATATGCAATATGGCGACCTAGCTGGCAAGACGTTCATCGTCACGGGAGCGGCCTCGGGCATCCGTCCGAGCAACAGCGTTACTATTGGCGCGGCAACAGTCAAACGCAGGCTTGTTAAACATTCAAGCACCTGACGAAGTCGCCCGACAGAAAGAATCTGAAGGTGGTAGTGCACTTTCTGTTGCCTGTGACGTCGGATCAGCTAGAGCAATGAACGATGCTGTCAAAGCTGTCGTCGATCGTTTTGGCAGTCTTCATGGTTTGGCCGGGAGCTTGGAAAGACAGAGCTTCTGTGGCTAACTGGCTGCAGGTGCGGCCAATATGGCCGGTATCGCGCGAACCAAGAAGATAGCTCCTGTCCAATTTGCTCTCAAGACTCTTGATGACGATGACTGGGACACAATTCTGAGGGTAAATCTGGATGGCGTCAAAAACTCACTACGAGCCGAAATTCAATGTATGCAAGACGGGCGTTCAATTGTCAATGCATCGCGCACTGCTGGACAATCTGGACCGCCTAATTCCTCTCCGTATACCGTTTAGAAAATGGGGAGTTATCGGGCTTACAAAGTCCGTGGCGAGGGAAACAGTCCAACAGGGTATCCGGGTGAACGCTGTAGCTCCGTGAGTTCTGCGGTATCATTCTTCATACAGATGCTGATCCTCGTTCAGGAGGCGTCATCCAAACGCCGCTCACAGACTTTGTCAACCCCAAAAGAGAAACTTTTCTGAAAACGACCGCCTTAGGCCGGATAGGGCAACCTGAGGAGGTTGCAAGAACTGTTTTGTTTCTGCTGTCGGGCGCATCAAGCTTTATTACAGCCTCAGTAAATTTGGTGGTCCTGGGAATTGGCCTTCTGTCTCCTTAAATGACGCGTACTACTATTACAGTGACGAGCAAAAATCCAAAAAATCAGCAAGTGTGCCAAGGGTGGACGATAATTAAACGCAGCATATAGAAAGAAGTAGGAGATAGCCTCCCAGAGCTATAGTTAGTACATAAATAGAGATATATATCTCTTGAAATAGAAGATAAATTTAGTTTATATCGAAAATTATACTATAAATAGAGCTCTAGCGACCTATTAATAACTACTACTAGATAGAGAAATATTAAATCTACTAGAAAATAGTGTAGGATAGGTGGTAGAGACTCTAGATAGCCTATAATCTCTCGATATATAGCGAAATAGTTAAATATATAGGTATTAAGATCTCTTTACCGACAGTAGGGGAATCGATCTACTCTTATTGACCTCGGCTTAATCTAATCTAGGGCACCTGAACACCCCTTCCCAACTCCATTTCGCGATGCATATGACGCTTTCAAATGGGTACCGATTCTTCCGATCATTAATTTGACTCCCTGGACTAACCTTTCAGACGATCGAGCACGCTTCTGAGCTGCAGGTGGACCCCCAGAAGATTATATTGGCCGGATCCAGTGCTGGGTCCAATACGGTCAGTAAGGGAGGTTTGACGGAGACAAACCAGCTTTCGTGATCCCCCCGCCTAGTTTCCTGACGGCAGAATCATGGTAGGCTGCAGCATTGGCACTCAAGTTGGGAGACGAGGGAGCGTTGCGGAATATTCGTGGTCAACTACTTAATGTCCCAGCGCTGTGCCACCCTGATCTGTTCCCCCATGACAAATACGAGCTTGAAAGCTACGAGCAGAACTCTGACGCCCCTACCATCGATGGAAAAGCCATGAAATGATTTTGGGGTAAGCCACCGAAACCTTGGGCTCCTGATGTGAACTGATCTTTGGCCGTACAGCTCAATACCTTCCGGAGCCAACTCCAGATTATTTAACGAGCCCTTTACTGGCAACCTCACACGCTGCTCTGCCACCCGCACGTAAGATAATACCCCGGCAAGCCGTTCTCGGTCGTACTGAGCTGACATGCTATAGTAATTCAGGCAGCTGGCATGGATCCTCTGAGGGACGAAGATCTCGCCTATGCGGAATCACTGAAAGCTGCGGGGTGAGTTAGTGCTAAGTTAGCTATGATCAAACCATAATGACGGTCGTTCTAGTGTGGAAGTCGAGTTGAATGTGTACCCCGGCCTTCCCCATGGATTCATGCTGGCTGTTGATTTACCAGTCGTCTCTGAATACTATGACCACATGGTAAAATGGGTCACTGGTGTTGGGGTCACATGACCTCTGGCACGCCTTCCACCTTGGGATAGGCTGCCCACCTACTTCTACTGCACTTGACGCAGCTCTCCCCCCTCTCCTTCTTAGATACCTTAGAGATAGCCCAACACAGCACACGCGCCATTAAGTCAATTGAGTCAATACGACTCCTGGGCGATTGTGGCCTCTTTCCTTTGTTCTACTCTTCGCTCCGCTCCGATCCCAACAACCGGGATACTTTGTACCGTAGAGACATCTTCTTGAGGAGATGAATCGGGACTTCGTAACGTGTCTATATGTATCCATCGCGGAGTGACCGACCGACCGACCCGCCTTCGCCGGCCGTTCTGGAAGGTTTATTCGTGTGGTCACGATCTGTAGCTGAAAACGTAGGAGGCAAATGGGCGCCATGTGCGCACTAGATCGATTATATGGCTCCTTATATCTATACTTTGAAATGCATGAATTTATCCCATCACACAAAATGAGCAAATCGAGGAAAGAGGCAGCGTCGGGCAACTCATAAATCACAAGACTCTCCTTTTTGGCGTGTTCAGCCGATGTCCAATTGCAACTATTATACTAGAATTGGTTGTTGATCAAGAGCGCTGCTATGGCTCAATTTGGTGTCTCCGCGAAGGGTATCGTTGTAAACGCCGTTCGTGTCATTCGACGCAGATCCATTGGGCGTCGGTCGTCTTGCGCTTTGTTCGTCCTCCCCTTCTCTATCGTAGTCCACTTCAAAGTCGGCTGGATTTGGGCTAATGATCATTTCGTGATACTCGGAAGTGGTCCAAGGCATGTTGACCCCTTGTCGACCAAATTCGTTGACATAGTATCCGGCACCGGCTTCCTCCCAGATAAGGGTGGCAGTCCTTTCGTCGAGCCTTATTTGGTATTCATCAAAGACATCTTGTTTGACGTCAAGACTTCGAACATTATTTTCAATCATCCACACGACGGCTTTCACCGCGTAACGAGCCCATATCTCGGCCCAGGAGAAAAGACTTCCTCCTCGTGGTTGATGATTAGGACCGTACAGTGAGAAAAGATTCGGGAAGCCTGGTATAACCATTCCGAGGTAAGAACGAGCACCGTCCTTCTCCCAGCACGAAGATAGCTTGGTGCCATTCTTTCCGACATAGTCAATCGGGTAGAAGTACTTGCCAACTTCGAATCCGGCCCCTAAGACAATGAGGTCGAACTCCCGCTCTATACCATCTTTAGTCAGGATTCCTTTAGAGGTTATCCTATCGATCCCTTCAGTGACAAGCTCGACGTGCGGCTCTTTGAGAGTATCGTAGAAACCATTATCAACCACGAGTCGGCGTATAAGAGGGGCATATTTAGGGGTCAACTTCTCCACCAGGTCAGGCCGGTCATGAAATTTCATTTTGATAAAATTCGTAAGGCCTTCGCGCATGGTATCGTTACGCTCGTTGACACAGCCACCCTTTGCCCGCCACTCGTGATCTCGCACCTGAAGAGGAGCAAGTTCTAAACTCCGAAAGTATGCTGCGTAGCCATACCAGTGCCAATAGTAGGGCATGTTATCGCACAGCCACTTCATGGACGCGTCGACCTTGGAGTTATAGCCCTCGTATATCGCGATCCAGTTAGGCGTGCGCTGGTAGACGGTGACGGATTTTGCTGACCGAGCAACTCCAGGGACGAGTTGGGTGCCCGTCGAGCCAGTGCCGATCACTGCCACGTTTTTGTCTTGATATGGCACACTGTGGTCCCACTGCGTTGTGTGGAACATTGGGTTCTTGAAGGTCTGGATCCCGGGTATATTGGGCTTCTTTGCCGTTGCAAAGAGACCGCTAGCGCTTATAATCGACCGGGCTAGTGTGTGTTGTTCTCCCCCAAACTGCTTGTCTTGTATTGTTAAGTCCCAGGTCCCTAGTGACTCGTCCCAGGCTGCAGCCACAACCTCCTTCTGAAAGCGGATATCCTCAAAAACACCGTACTTTTTAGAGACCTGCTCTATATACCTTTGGTTCTCCTCTCTCGAGGCAAAATAACTCGCCCAAGGGTAGTTCTTCTCGAATTTATACTGAAAGAGGTAGCTGAGAGTATCCACGCGGCATTCTGGATACTGGTTCAAGAACCAGGTTCCTCCGACCCCTTTCTGTCGCTCGTATACAATGTATGGGACCCCAAGCCGCTTCAGCTGGATAGCTGCCGCAATGCCGCTAAGACCTGCGCCGATGATGACTACCTTGTGCTGTGCTAAGGTCGTCATGGAAGGCTTAATTGTCCATTGGACCCCGCGAGGGAATTCTTCGTAGGCGAGTTCTTCGTAACCAGGCAGAATGTCCCTATCATTGAGCGTTACACCAGCAAACAGATTCATAAGTTTCGTCGCCTCCGCAACAGTTGGTGGTTCGGGGACGCTTTCTTGAGGGCCCTTGACTAGATATTTGACGGCCTTCTCACGCACGGTCGACATGTCCTGCTCGCTCAGCACGTAGTCAAAGAGAGCCCCGCCCCGGATCTTCTGCTTCGTCACTTTCATGAGCGCGAGGTCGGGATCGGCAGTGACTTGGTAGAGAGCCATTCGTAGGGCATTGATACCCGCTTTATTCACCGCGGCCCGGATGAAGTTGGCATCTACAGACCACCCGGTGGACGGGTGAGATTCTCTTTTCGACTGAGAAGCTCTGGCCATCGTGGACAGGTTTGAAAGAGATCCTGGGTAGAGGAGCCGTAGACGATTGTTCGAATATGATGTGCCCCGCTGCAGATCTTGATAGGTATCAAAACATACTGCCAAGAAGGGGTGTTGCAAAAGGTTATCAGGACGCACCTCGCGGAACCAGGAATTGGCCGGGACTGAACTACCCGGGAAAAGAGTCTGCAGCGGGGGGTGTTCCCCTTGCGGGGCTCGCTTTACCACACCCTGCCAACGAGCACTTTGTTTGTTCCGGGTAGGACACAGTCCAAGACTAGCCCGTGTTCAATCCGAGAGCATTTCCGGTTCCGACTCGAGAATAACGAGTTGAGATTCTCGCTTGAATCGCTGAACCATCCTTTTACTCCTCCTGGGACCACTGGCCTGTTTCCAAGATGGACGCTGAGAAATTTGGACCTGTAATGCATGCTGAGCAGGCTGAGGCGAATGGGGAGATCTCCAAGGTTGGACATGGCGATGAGCGTCCACAAGGACTTTACGCAACGAAGACAGGGGGATATGTGCCCTCCGCCCCCGAAGAAAAGCGTCACCATAGGTCCCTCAACCGCAAGATTGACCTCTTCGTCCTGCCATTCTGTGTCATCATTTATCTCTTGAACGGTCTGGACCGTAGCAATATCGGAAATGCACAGACAGATGGATTTACCGATGACTTGGGAATGCCCAAGACCGCACTCAATACGGCCAGCTCTCTCTTCTTTGCGACTTTTGTGCCATTCCAGCCGATTTCAGCGGCCATCGGCAAAAGGGTTGGACAGCCACATTGGTTGGCTATAATTGCCTTTTGCTGGGGACTTCTCACACTGTTTCACGCCTTTGTCAAGAATCAGGCACAATTCATCGCCCTTCGTCTGTTGATGGGCTTTTTTGAGGCCGGCTTTTTTCCAACATGCACCTCCTATCTAGCCACCTGGTACCCTCGATTCGACCTTGCCTTACGGATTGCCATTTTCCAGGCTTTCTACGCTATCGCTGGGGCATTTGGTGGCTTGATAGCGTACGGGTGTTTCCACATCCGAGGACCCCTGTATGGATGGCAATACCTCTTTATTCTGGAGGGAGCAATCACCATGTTCGTCGCTTTGATCACTCCGATTTGGATGGCTCCTAGCCCCGATAAGGCCTGGTTTCTAGACACGACAGAACGAGCCTATGCGGTGCGGCGTATGATTATCGACACCCAGTCCGACCCGGCCGCCCACCGAAAGATTACCAAGCGCGATGTGATCGAGGCTTTTACAGATTGGAAGATTTGGGCCATTGTCCCCTTCAACACTCTCGCAGCTGTATCATCTTACGGCTTCAGCATTTTCTTTCCCCTTGTCGTTCAGGTAAGACAAAACTACGCCGGTCGAATGTCATGCACGAACTGACCGTGCAAAGGGCCTGGGCTACTCAGGGGCCACGGCCAACCTGATGACCGTGCCTCCATACGTATTAAGTGCCATCTTGGTCCTGGCTGTTGCTTACTCGTCCGATCACTTCCATGAGAGGACCATGCATATTCTGTTCGGCCTTACCATTGTGATTATTGGACTCATCTGCGACATCACTCTCCCGCTGTCCCACGTCCATGCACGCTATGGTGGCCTTGTTGTCCTCCTTGCCGGCAGTAACATCTCCTATCCGATCTTGATTGCATGGCTCGCAGGTAACACGCCGGAGCCAGGAAAGAGAACGGTCCTTCTGGGAATCAACGGGTACGGCAATCTGGGGGGAATTATCGGCAGTGAGCTGTTCCTGAGCAAGTATGGCCCGACTTACCGTTGGCCTCTAAAAGTCACGGTCGCCTTGGTTGCAGCTTCTTGGGTCGGTTTCGCCTTATATCACTTTGAACTAAGGTATGCCAATCACTACAGGGCGAAATGCCTCGCGAGAATGACCCCTGAAGAGATTGAGGATGAGAGGACAAACGACAAGCGATACGCGGACAAGAAGCGGACCTTTGTCTACGGGCTCTAATCCGAGACGAAGGTAGAGTACAGAGGTCACATGAGCGGGTAACCGCGTTGTTAGGCAAATCTATCCTCCTCGGTGGACAGCGGTCCCATCTCTGCGCGATCTGAAAATACAATAACTCGTTGTTTCAGAGCCAACTCGCGAGCCAATCTTCCTACTCCCTCAGCCGCCGGTCAATTAAAGGCGTCTAGAGGAGCCGCCTACGTCGAAGGGTGTGGACGAGAGGCCAGGAGAGGACACCACAAAGCCATCAGGTTGTGGAGCCCAGGATATACCAAGGCAACTCGTCAAAATAGGATATAATTCTCGTTATAGGGATAGAACGTATCTATTATTGAGAGCCAACTATTTCACCAAGGAGCAATACCGA